TAAGGTAAAAACCCAGTGCATACAGTGTTCATGTTTTTTTTTGTTTGTTTGTTTTATCCAGACGGCTTCCCGCGCCCCACCTGCAATGGCACAGCGCCCCCCCTAAGGGGCGCGCCCCACAGTTTGGGAACCTCTGCATTAGACTTTGTTTCTCAAGGCAACATTTTTGTCCTATTAGGAAGTAAAGTAGCTCTTAATATGTAGGGATATGAGCCATATACCATCAGCATAAGAAGTATTTGTCTACACACAGATTTGTGATCTGACTTTATCTATTAGGAAAAATAAAGTTCCAACTTGTCCCCATATGGAGAGCTAATTGGACCCTAAACCTGACCAAGTATCTGTTGAGTAATACAGTATGTTGTAGGTGACACATGTTGCGTCATTGACACATGGCTGAGTTTAGTGCATTAGTTTCTGCTAAATATCATGTTGGTGTAGTACTTTAGTGAAACAAATACTAATTAGTAAGTTAAGGTTAGCGTATCTAACTTTTTAGTTAGTGGTGTCTACCACTGCAATAAACCATGATTCACTTCACATCAGCTAAAGCTGTGTCAAACCAAAGAGGATAACATCAGGGCAGAGTGGATCCTGCATGAGCAGGCCAGGAACAGACTGACCAAGGAGATCTGGGCAGCTAAGAGATGCTACAGTGAGAAGCTAAAGGACTATTTCTAAGCTAACAGTCCAGGAATGTCCATTTTCTGCTTGAGAGCCAGTGCTGACCAACTTGCCCCCATCCTCACTCAGATCTTCAGCAAGTCTCTGAAGCTGTGTGAGGTTCCCGAGGTTCCCTCTTTCTTCAAGGACACCACCATCAACCTGAGCCCCCCAAAATGGACCATAACAGGATTAAACGACTACAGACCTGTTGAACTGATGCTTGTGGTCATGAAATCCTTTGAGTGACTGATGTTAGCATTTGCAGGACATCACATGCCCCTTGCAGTTTGCTTGGCAGCCAGTCAATAGATGACTCAACATACGCCAGGATAGTGTTTGTGGGCTTTAGCTCAGTCTTCAGCATGATCAACTCAGACTTCCTCCACCAGAAGCTCACAATGCCAGCCCCATCCTGTTAGTGGATGACCAGCTTCCTGACCGATCAGCAGCAGCAGGTGAGGCTGTGGAATATTTTCTCCTGCGCAAGAACCATCAGCACTGGCACCCCTCAGGGTGTGTTCTCCCCCCACTCCTCTTCTCTCTGTGCACATGACCGCAACTCAGCAGACCTGTCTATAAAACACCTGAAGTTTCCAGATGACATCACTGTGATTGGTCTGATCCAGGTCAATGACGAGTCTACAGACAGAAGATGGATTAATTGGGTTAAAACTACCTGGAGCTTAGCACACTCAAGATAGTAGAGATGACAGTGAACTTCTGGAGAACACCTCCCACACTGCCTACCTTCACCATCCTCAGTCCTTACTCTGGACCTGAGACGGTCCTCACTCACAGACACAGTCTGGAAGAAGGCCCAGCAGAGATCGTACCACCTGCAGCAGCTCAAGAAGTACAGTACAGTGCGGCCGGTGGCCATCTTCCACACTGCCAATATTCAATGTGTCTGTGTGGCTTGGCTCATTCATAAAACACGATGGGACAAACCTGGATCAAACAATCGGGTCTTCAGAGAGGATCGCCAGGTTTGACCTTTCCTCCGTCCAGGACTTGTACAGCTCTAGCGTCAGGAAACGGATAGCGACCATCTTCCCACAGATCTCACACATCTTGGACTGTTTAGACTTTTCCCTTCCAGTCAGCAATTGAGAGGCATCACAGAGACAGTTTCTCACTCCAGGCTGTTTCTCTGATGCACACAATGAACACTAGACACCCAGTAGTCATCTACTCTGCTGTGAAACAAAATAACCGATAACTGTCACAATCTACCTTCTGTTTCTCTTTCTATATATAAAAAAATAAGATTGTGGAAAGAGAAAAAGCACAACTCTCCCATCTCTCTGTGGTCTGACTGTACAAAATGCTGTTCTGTTGGGAAAAGAAAGTTGTACAAAATGCTGACAACAAAGGTATCTATGAATGTGCCAGCAAGGATTTTTGTTTAAAGTTTTCTCTTCACAGATTTGTCCACTCAATGGAAAGAGTCCATTCAAATTGAAAGTTGAATTTTTTAAATGTTCCTTCAAGAATTCAAGACCTTTCTTTGTTCCACATCTTTACTATCTTAATTGTTGCTAGTGTCGTGCATTTTACGGATCCACTAGTTCCCACAGCTGAATTAGCCTCTTAACTCTGAGCAGCAGCTCATTAAATAAACATGTTTTGTGTTCAGATGGAAAATACAGATGTGACCCAATTCACAACTTTCTAGGACACTGCCCCATTACAGCAAAAACATGTGCATCTGTCAACATTTTAATCATGTCTAATTTTTTTGCATTCTGGACACATCTAGCAGTTGTGACCAAAATCTTTGTAAAATTTTCAGCTTGAGGTAATCACAGACTGATCAGATCCATATTAATTTGTAGCAAAGAGCTGCGTAAACTTTAAAAATCAGTCTTTTTTAGACAGGCACAACAGGGCACCACGCAATCCTAAGGATGTGAAAGTGTCCACATGAGATCCAGAGCTGGGTTATCACCACTGCAGCGCTTGCTCAATATTGACAGTTAGTGGATTTGAGGGAATCGGCACACAGCACGGCAAAGACATTTTCACAACAATTTTGGGTCGCAAAGAATTCCCTTATATCTAAGAAAAATGTCAAGGACTGACTGGAATTCTCCACTAAGTACAAGACCGATCAGAAGAAGAGACTAACAGGGTCATGTCCTCCAATAAACCTGGAAAATTATTTGTCTGGATAGAAACCGATCCTTCAAAGGAACCTTCTGTGTACTTTCAAGCAAAAGACCTTAGTGGTCAAGAAACTCAACCTAATCTTAACTGTGTTGTGAGACTGTGGTCAGTTCTCAAATAGCAGATCGAGGAATAGAAGCCAACAACAATCTCTCTGGGAACTCCAGCTTCTTTCCACAGGCCAAAAACATGATTTTAGGTCAACTGGTCTCTCTGAATTGTCTTTAGGCTTGAGTGTACAAATATAAAGAAAATAGCTAAAACACATTGCCTTGTTCGGGTGTTCAAACTTGATCACATTGTATCTCAGTACAGCAGTAAATTTCAAAAGATTTTCTTTGTGTTATATGTGATTCCACCTTTTGTTGCTATAACAACTGCTAATAGTTTGATGTTTGTCTCCACGACTGTTGAACATGTACTGAAATTATTACCCAAGATTCTTTGGAAAGCAGTCAGACTGGAGGGAGGGAGTATTGTTACAGATTTTCAGTTAGATATTTGACTAGGCCATTCTGACACAATAATGGTTTGATCCAAACAATTCCTCTGTAATTCTGGTTGTGAACCTACTCCTTGTTCTTTATTTAGCTCCATCTGACTGACTTTATATCAGTCTGTCACATAAAATCAAAATAAAATACCCTGAAGTGTGTGGTTATTATGTGACACAATGAGTCTAAATTATTTTATTTCCAAGACATTTTTGAAAAATAAAGGAATCAAATCAGTTTTAAAACAAGAGGATACTCTTAATTTGATGCCAGCCATCTCTCCTATAAAATAAAGGTATTCCTAGGAAATCTTAAGAACCCCCAGAAAGCTGAAAATCAATAACCAATAATCGTGATTGTCAGTCGTTATCCATTTGATGAGCTCACGCTTAATTCATTTCCTTCTGTCGCAAACATCCGCCCCTCCCGCTCCCGTCCTAAAACACAAACAAAAAAGAACCATCTTCCTCCTCTTCCTCCTCCTCCGCGGCTCCCTGCATCCTCAGCTCGGCCTCAAGCTCCATCCCAGGCCGCTCTCCTCCACATGACACCATCCGCATTAAGCTATTATCAAAACCACGGGAACTGCAGAGTTATCCCCTCCCAAACACACATAAACACACTGCTACTAAACGAACTTAATATGCTCAGGTTATCTAAATATATTCGTAACGAAGATCTTATTAAAATGAACGGAGGGCCCCTCTGTGCACAAAGGCCCCCTCCCACTCCCCCTCACCCCTTATCGCCCAAAACGAGACGCTGGTAAACATATGGGGGAGCTTCCTTTACCCGAACATCCCTCCCAGGAACGAGCCCGACGCTTTGACCTTCTTGTCGGCCTCGGCCATCAGCTGCATGGCCTCCTTCTCTTTGCCGGAGTTGTCCATGGCTCGGTGGGTCTGAAAGCGGGCCGATGTTCCGCAGTGGGGAGAGAAGACGTCTCTACTGGTGCTGATGCTGAAGGAGGCTGGCGCTCTTCTTCAGCGGGAAGAGACACAGAGCTTAGTATGAGTCAATCGCACCGCCTACAGGAAGAAACAGCAATTGCAACAGGCTAAGGCAAGAAAAATAATCACGGGGATTTAAAAATGTGTTATTCTTAGTACAGTGCCTTGCAAAAGTATTTTCACTTTTGACCCTTTACATAAAAAAAAAAATCGAGTTAAAACAGCAAATTTCAGTCAATTTCATTATGAATTTATTTTAAAATCATTGTGAAGGAAAATAATAGCCTACATGCTAAGAGATTTTCCCCCTTAAAAATAACAAAAAATAACAATTGATTATGTTTTTATAACATAATAAAGCAACAATATGTTTTATTATATTTAATTAAAAAATAGATTTTTAAAATTAAATATTGATTTAATTTTTAAAAATTAATATTTTCTAGAACGTATTTTGCTCTATAATTTTTGTGTACATCAAAAGATGTACACGTTCCATTAAAAAGCGACTCTTTTATGGAATGTAATAAAATTATGGACATAACTTCCAGCAAATTAAATGATTTAATTTAGAAATAAACAATTTCGTTGAGTGACTTTAATGTAAATATTTTTGAGTGAAAATGACCTAGAAAGCTTAATAACTAAATTATTTGGTACCAGAAAGCAAGAAAAACTAAAGTTGTCCTCGAGAAATCAGCTTCCACAAACGATCTTAATTTATTGTTTTTCTAAACAATAAAATCAAATAAAAAAAAAAGTAATTGTATTTTTTTATGAAACTATAAGTTTTAAAACTGTTGAAAGACAAAACATACTGTAGAAGCTACATGTTACACTTAGGATAAGGTAACAGACACCCAGTTTCCCTTTTTGGAGTACATATCCAAATATGCAACTGAAACCGCATTTGCTGTTTTTGAACATTAGAGGGCGGTACAGCCCACTTCTAGACATTGGTCAAATCTCCGTCGTATTATGGCTCGTTCATTTCTGCTCAGCAGTCAAAATTTCCCTTTTCCAAGTTGCTAAAATAATATTAAAATAAACTGGGCTATAAATTTGGGATTAGCGATCTGGTTTTGGAACCATCTTCTGGCCAGTTGGCTTGGGGCCAAAAGTATCTTTTTAATTATTTTTAATATTTCAGATTTTAGTAAACATCCACTCAGCATGATGATGGTGAAAACATTCCACATACACCTCACGAGTCCAATATTGTGAGCTTAAGCAGCAAAAAGTAACAAATCAGTCATTTTTAGATCAAACATTTTATTATTTCTGTTTAAATAGCACTCAATAAAACCAAGAAATAATTCCAGAGGTGGAGGAACTCAGGACAAGGAAGCATGCTCAGTGGAACCAAAGCAGAGCTGAGATGGAGCATTTCTCAAGAGGATCAACAGATCTGTTGAAAATATCTTGTGCTCCACACAGACTGGCTTTAGATTTCTAAACTCAAAACAAAAGGAAACCTGGAAAATGACGTTATTCCGAATAATCACTGTACAAAGAGGAACAGGCTGGATTTGGCACACAGTTTTACAACAAAGAAGAAGTCGAGCTGTTTCATGGTGGTTCTTCTTAATCAAGTATCATGAAATAACATTTAATAAGTACACATATCACCAGACTGTTGAGTCTGGAGAGGTTTCACATTAAAGAAAAAAAAACATCATGCAATTGCCAAGACACAAACGTCTGACCTGCTGATTGTTGAGTAGCAGGAGCTCTGAGGGAGTAAAACATGGCATATTCTGAATTTCATTGATTTAATAGTCATTTTACAAAACATATCTGAAAACTCCTAATAAGTTTTGGTACCAGGATGAAGTGGTTTTTCAGCTGTATCTATGTCAGTGTATCTTGTAAACCTGCAATGGAAACACTTTTGTCACATCAGCAGAGTCATGTTATCAACAGCTTGATGTTACTACCGGCAGAAACCATGAAGAAGAAGATGACAGGAAGTAGCAGGATGATCGTGGCGGGGTGGTATTTTAATGACTTATCGCATGAACAGATTTATTTATGTGTGATTTTAATTGTGTTTCTTATGTAGTGAAAACACCACAATTGCAAAATTGTCTTTTTTCAACATTATCAGATTAATAAAGTTTTTTGCGTATTTGTAAGTGGAAACGAGATACTTCCTGTTTTTATGGTGGAAAATGCCTTTTGGGGTTAAAATCATTCATACTCTGTATAGGATATGAATTTGTGGCACTAAAAGATGGCAGTATATAATCCGTATTCTGTAAACATACGTTGTGGTTCCGGTAAGTTTTCTATGTGTGCATTTAGTGGTGATGAGTAACGTCAGGTTCTTTCAGGCATAGGCAAGAAAACCTGCCTAATTTTTTGCTTATATTTTAAAAACTGTCCTTATAAACTGTTGGGAAACGAACCAATCAGAATGGTTGTGTGAATCTTGGCTTCAGCTTGTGCCAAAAATAAAAATTTACTAAGATTGTGGACAGAGAAAATCATTGTAAAGAGTAAGTGGTAATGAAAGTCATAGCAGTTCTATATGCAAGATGCATGAGATAGATAGATAGATAGATAGATAGATAGATAGATAGATAGATAGATAGATAGATAGATAGATAGATAGATAGATAGATAGATAGATAGATAGATAGATATCATGCAGTAAGTTGTCAGAATGTTAGAACATAAGACCAAATGACATTTGATTAAATGCTGAAGTACATCACAGTTCATGCTTCTAATAATTAAAAAAACCCATCAGATTGTTTTTTCCATTAAAAAGAGAATTAACAGTCTTTATAAATATTTACTTCCTCGGTGAAGCGCCTCAGTTTCCTACAGTTTCATTTCCTGTATCACTCCTCTGCATCCTCCTATATTTTTCCTGCTCAGTCCTCCTCTGAAAGAGCTTCGTGGGGAGTCGACGGCCGGGACTTGCTGTGACCTCTGCCCTCCAACTTCCTGTCCTGCAGGAAGTCTCGGATCTCGCCGGGCAGACGCTGGAACTTTTCCTGGAACTCAGCCTCCACTGCCGCCTGCAGCTGGAGAACCGTTTGCGATTATAAGAGATTGGAAACTAAAGATCTAACATTGTCCCCTGCAGGGAGGTCATATTACTCAAATGTTTGGCCGATATAAAGTCTTGTACGTCACTGGAATGTCTTCCTATGGACCCTTCGCAACTACGTCACCTAATTCAGGTTGAGGTGCCATGAAGGAAGTGCTTTCCCAGGCTGTTTTTGCCAGTACAGCCATGGCTTCTACTTGTAAAAGTTTAGCTAAGTAGATGCTAATCTATTTTTCCCCCATACATGTTAGGTTACATGATGGTGAGGCATTTTCCCCTGGGTTACTAATGATTCGATGTATATCATCTCCATTACTCAATATTTGATTGCCTCTTACTAATCTTGCTAACTTATGAAGTGCATGGATGCTCTGCTAATTTCTGTGAAAACACAGAGGGTTGCCAGTCTTTCCAATTAATGGCTGCCATCACCATCTTTTTTCCTCGTTAAAAGGTTTGTGATAAAATGACAAGTTTGGTTTGCTTCCTTGTGTGTTTGTGCAGCTAATGGCTCAACATCCTATGACCCATTTCACAGCTTAATCAACTAAATAAAAGCAATATTAAGTGACCCAATGTCTGTTTACTGTCAACCTTTAAAGGATTTAATGCGCATTGATCATTTTGACTTCCGTCGTGGCAGAGTGGGCCGCTTTCAGAACAATGTGACGTCACATGCAAAGGGCCAATTGTACCTTGCAACGGGATTTTTACCCCTTGTACTTTTTGTCACATTAGAACCACAAATCTAAATCTATTTTATGGGGATGTTATAACTTCCAATGCTAGACCTGTCAATTACCTTGGCTGTCCGATCAGGTTCCAGACGTGGCAGTACTACCATCTGTAGATGTAACTTACCTTTGGTTTCTGATCTTGGATCTCCTGCAGGAGGTCATTGTGCTGCTCCACCAGCTGATCCTGACGCTTAGTTTGAGTTTCCTCAAGCTGAGGACAACAAAATGTTTGTTTCTTTTGCCAGCACATCATCCCAATCTTGTTCAGTGTCCAAGAAGTTCAGCAATAAATTACTGGAAGGTAGGTTCCTCTACCGCTGCTCACCCGCTTGATGTTTTGCACAACCTCGTTGACGTAGGACTTGTTGATCTCGATCTTCTCCCTGAAAGAAAGACAAGTTGAGCATAACCAGTTTGTTAGGTTAGCATGGTTAGCTAGCAGTATGGTTCAGGGCACTGTGTAGAGGACGTACTCCTCAGCCAGATGTTTCTCTTTGGTCTTGGCCTGGTTGATCTTCTCGGTTCTCCGTCGATCCATCTGCCTCTTCAGCTCCTTCTTCTCCCTGCAGCAGCATGAAGAAACATTTGAGCTGCAGGGTTGCTAGTTGCCAGTCTGAATGAGCACCACATATTTCAGATTTAGGTTGCTATGTTGAAAACCATGTATCACTTTGCTACATACACACTACTTTGTCTGTTTGTGGAATCATAAAATTCCTCTTTCATACATTGAGGTGTGTTGCTATAACATGGCAAAATGCGGAAAAATGAAATGGGTTTGTTTTGAAAGGCCCCTGTGATGTAGAAATACATTTATTTACTAAAAGATAGCTTACCAAAACAAAGGACTGTTACTGGAGTAATGACAATTTAGAAAAATAAAAGGTAAAAAGGACAAGTGAACATGTTTAATATATAAATTAATCAATTTATGTCACAAAAAACAAACTCTGTCTCATGTTAAAAGACAGCGAGTGTGCTGAAGGTTTTTTAAAGGCTTTTCAGAGTGAATATTTCTAAGAACTCTGTATGTGTACATGGTAAATACAGACATTAGAGAGATTATGGTGTTGGAGCTCATTTTAATTGATATCTGCATTGAGCATGGTCTGAAAGTCCCAATATTTTCATTTTGACAATTATTCTTCACCTGTTCATGGCAAGTTCAGCTTATTTTGCATCAGGTAATTAAAATCTGGAAAAATTGTGATAAGAATCAAATGTAAAGTGGAAGCCTGTTCTTAGTGGATTCCTTCTCAGAACTAATTCACCTTGAATTTTATAAAAGTGGTTCACTTTAACATCATCGCCCTGTTCTGGCACTGTGTGGGTATTGCAGGTTATTTTGTGGAAATAGGACATTTCCACATTAGACATG